CGGTACGACGACGCGCCGGCGGTGCCTGAGGCGTACGACGATGACGTCATTTCGTGCGGCTTCCGCGCCTCTTCGTCGCTCTCCTCGTCATCGCGCAGCAGCGCCTCCAGCCCTCCACGCAGCGGCTCGCGCAGCTCCTGCCAATGGCGGTCCTCCGCGTGCCACACAACGACGCCGTACACAGTGATCGCAAGCAGCGCAGTGGTCAGCAGCAGCACGATAGCCGCGTACGCCCTCGCACCGCCGTCGCTCGGCGCAAGATGGTTGGCCGCGCTGACCAGGCACAACGCCGCAAGGAGCACAAAGCTCGCCGCGTGCATCACCGTCAGGAAGGCCGAGCGCATCATGTTCGTGAAGGCAACCACGCCCGCGCCCGCAAGCAGCACAGCCGCCATGCAGAAGCACTGGACGTGGCAGCCTCCCACAGGCGAGTGCACAGCCGCAATCAGGCCCACCACACACAGCACCGACAGCTGGAACACGCACCAGTACACATGGCTGCCCCTCATGCTCGTCAGCATGCCACCGTACATCCGCTGCTGCGCCGCAGGGTGCCAATACCCGACGGGGTACAGCAGGCGCTCGTGCAACGGCTTCCTCGAAAACTGCCAGTACCTCGTGAAGCTCGCGCCCACGTGACGCGCAATGAAGTAGCACACGCCAGCAGGGAACGCCACACCGTACAGCACGCCAACGACACCAATCACGCGGTGCTGCACGCGGGCGCCGGGCATCGCCAGTGCGAGCACGGAGCCGAAGAAGATGCCGAGGTGCATCGCGTGCGCCACGACGTACGTCAGGCTCGGGAAGCGCATCGCCGCCCACGCACTCGTCGCGTCCACGCCGCGCCACCGCTGAAAGGCCGCCGCCACACCGTAGTGTACGCACCCAAACACAGCGGCCAGCAGCGCGTTGCCCACCACCATCCACAGCGGGTCAAGGGCAGCGAACACCGACACGAAGTACGGCAGCGCAACGGTGCTTTCACGCTCCTGCGCCGAGGCGCATGACATCCTCGCAAACACGCCGAGTGCCTGCATCTCCAGGATGGTGCCCAGACCGCCGGTTACCACCACGGCAACAGCCGTCGCACCCGCAACAACGCTGGTGATCGCCGAGAGGGCGCTGGCAGCGGCGGGCAGCGTGTTCGACCTGATCGTGAGGAACCCAAGCAGCACACCCCTGCAGCCGCCGGACACCGCCGCAGCGTCGCAGCGAATGACTATCGTCTCGTCGGCAGCAATGAAGTAACCGCGGTGCACGGGCACAACCAGCTCCAGGACGGTGGACGGATTCGTCGCGTTGCGCACCCACGTCGCGTTGCTCAGCATCGCTCCCCACGGACCACCAAACCCGCGCGGCTGCGCGGTCGACACCGGCACAAAGCTCAGATGCGTGCAGAGCTGCGGGTCGCGTGCCCAACGAAACGGCGGCGGCAGCGCCACCATCAGCCGTGTCGGGACGGCGCTCCCACCGCCGCGGATGTCGTTCTGCGTCAGGCCCCCACCAGCCGCCGTCGTCGTCACTGCGAGTGTCGGGCACGCCACGTCGCTCCACCACAGCGTGCTGCTCACCGACGCCGTCGAGGTCCGCGTGGGCGGCAGCGCCACCGTCTCCGTCTCCTGCAGTGTCTCCGTCGGCCCGTACTGCGTCAGACTGTAGTGCGCCGTGCTCAGGCTCGGCGTCCCCGTTGGTGTCAGGCTGCGCGTCTCCGTCAGCGTCGCCGTATGGCTCAGCAGCGGCGGCATGGCGGGCGTGCGGTTGCACCCGTCCACGTGCGGCTGGTACACCGGCAGGCAGTCGCGCCCGTACCCGCCCTCAGCACAGCGGCAGCGACACGACCCCGACATCGCCCTCGTCGCAGCAGCAAAGCAGCGCACGTCGGCGTCGCACACGCCACACGCCACGGGGCGGAATTCCCCGATGATGCCGGCGGACCTGTAGTCCATCGGCTGCAGCGCCTGCCCGTTGAGCGTCAGGCACCCCACAACGAACTTCCGGCCGGCGCCTCCAAGCACAACGGTGCCGTCCATCACAAAGGGCCCGCTGCCAGCGTTCCCGTGGAGCGTCAGCGTGCTCTGCACGAGCTCCGCACTGCGCGGGTACGACGGCAGCGAAAGGAGCCTGCCGCTGATGCTGTTGCCGCGCACCGACAGCCACGACCCGGAAACAAACGACGCCGACCCCCGCAGCTCCAGCAGCGCGCCATCGGT